GTATACATAATAAATAAATATTTTTTTAAAAAAAGAAATGAACAGACAGACAAACAAAACCCCCTGACCAGTTCTTATTATGGATAGAAGTCTTCAGGGGAAAAAAAGCCTGGAGACATAGAAAAATACTCCATAATGGAAAATTTGGGGCCTGTGTTGGAAGTGTTTGTTCCCATAAATGATTGCCCTGCTGAGTTTCGCCTTTCTCTCTCTCACTGAGTCATTTTTATTGCAGACTTTAAGAACAATGTCATTTTGAAGTCTGCGGTTCCCAACAATCTATCCTCCAGCCCCCAGCTTCTTCCTTCTTCCTCAGAGAAAACCATCTTCTTGAATTTGCCTTTTCTGCAGCTCGTGTTTCCTTAATCTTTCAGCCAATTTGTCTGTGTTGGTTTCTAAGTTGGCATGCATGCTCTCCCTACCACAGGGAATTTGTACCACAGATGTGTGCCACCACATCCAGCTTTTTATGTGGGTTCTGGGGACCTGAGCTCAGTACATTAGTCATGTGCTTTAATTATTTGTACTCATTAAACCATCTGCCTGGATTTCTTGCTCCTTTACTTCTGAGACAGGCTGGCCTCAAACTGACACAGCTGAGAGTGACCTTGAACTCCCGTTTCTCCTGCCTCCACCTCCCAAGATCTGGGGTTACCATGCCTAGTTTGGTGCCTGGGATGGAACTCAGGACTTTGTGTATGCTAGACAAGATCTCTACCAACTAGCCGGGCGGTGGTGGCACACACCTTTAATCCCAGCACTTGGGAGGCAGAGGCAGACAGATCTCTGTGAGTTCAAGGCCAGCCTGGTGGACTGGTGGATAGGCTCCAAAGCTAACAGAGAAACCATCTCAAAAACAAAAAACAAAAAAAAAAAAAAAACCAAAAAAACTCTATCAGTTGAGTTGTAACCCCTGCCCAGATTTCTTTCCTTTGTCACATTTGCCTATGCTTGCAACATTTTACAGAATGAATAGGAACTTTGTGTCGCCTAACACACCCAGCCCAGGTCCTCTCCCTTGGTCACCACCTGTGACTCTGATTCAGAGGGGAAAGAGTAGCAACATCAACTCCTCCCCCAACTCCCAAGCTAGTATCCCAGCACTGGGGAACTACCGTGTATCAGGCTTGCCAGGGCCCACAGGCCAGAAATGGCATCTCAGGTATCTCAGTGTGTACCAACACAAGATAAAATGAGCAATATCCTGGAAGGAAAACCCACCTCAAAACAGAATTTGGCAAGGTTTGATAGTGTATAGTTGGAATCTTATTACCCAGGAGGCTGAGGCAGGAGAATACTGAGCTACATTTTAAAAAGTTATTCAGAATTTTTATTCTGTATGAGGTCAAAAGACAGAAATAAAGTATTACTACATATATTTAACAAAAATTAAATGAGAATTGGTTACTAAATATTTACAGAATAAGTGATGGGTTAATCACTGTGAACACGTTTGAGCACACCAGGCCCTCACATCTTTAATTCTAGCACTGTCTTGTGGTGATAGAAGGCTGAGTGGTAAGGAGACCTGGGAACTCAAGGCCAGCAGTTCCCAGCCCAGCTCTAGAAACAAGAGAGACTCTGTCTCAAACAAGGTGACAGTGAGAAGTGACTCCTGAAAGATGTCCTCTGACCTCCATGTGGGTGCTGTGGCATGTGTGTGCCTGCACGCATGTGCACGCACATACACTCACAGAGAGAGAGAGAGACGACAGAGAGATTCCCTGAGATTCTTTGGCCTTCCTTCCCTTCTGTAGTAAAACAGAAAGTTCCCACAGGCACAGCCCGCAGCTAGGGTCCTCTTCAGACCCAGCAGATGAAGCTCAGGATGAAAATGTGGCCCACATTTTTCTGTGTGCTTCTGGGAAACCCACACTCCTCAAACCTTAAATTTAGATTTTGAACTACAAAGTCCACTATAGGCTCAGATCCTCTGGGGGTGAATTCTGTGTGACGTGTGGTTAGCACCGCTGGGGACTTCTTTTGGGGAGTAGAATTTGGAATGAATCCTGGAAATGAGACAGTGCTGCTCCCCACTCTGCCCCTCCCCAGTGTTTTAGGGATTACAAAACAGGCTTTTTTCTTATTTTTGATACAAGGTTCGGTGAAGACCAGGCTAGTCTTTAACTCGCTACATAGCCAAGAATGATCTTGAACTTCTGATCCTGCTGTCTCTGCCGAACACTGGGATTATAGGCACATGCCACCATTCCTGGTTTGTGTAGTGCAGCGTTCGAAACCAACGCATTCTAGGCAAGTACTCTACCAACTGAGATATATCCCAGCAGCCCTTTTTTCCTTTTTCTTCCCAAGAGATGGATTAGTTTGGGATAAAATGATCTGAATTTGGACAATTAAATGAAGCCATTTATGAAGCGTGCCTGTAACACAATGAATACTCCGGAAACAAAGGAAATCCCCTTCTGCCCTGCCTTTTGTTTACTGTTTGTCACAGTAGCAGGTGGGAAAGGAGAGAGCATTTCCCATGGACCCCCATGCTCTGCCTGCCCCACATTTCCAGAAATCATTTTTTTCCAAGTGCTAACCACAGCCCTGCCATCCCACCTATTTTAAGTGACTCCCTGTGTTACTGTGTCACCCTCTGGTTATTCTGGTGACCACATGACATGCAGTGCCTCAGCTCTTCACAGCAAGGGCTCCTCAGAAGATGAAGAATTCATCCCAGACCTCAAGCCAATGCTGTTATTTCAGGGATTTTCCCGACATAGTGGAGGCCAGATGGGGACACTTGCAGCTTCAAAGCCAGAGCTGCCTCCAAGTGGGGAGGGTTGAAAGGTAAGCAGTTTTGGGGTACCGAGCACCTCCCCTGATTGTAGTCTCACACACAAGGCGAGCCTACCACCGTGTGGGAAGCTGCAGCTATGGGATTGGGGTGCAGAGCACCAGATCCCTGTTGTTCCTTTCCCGACATAACACTCAGGAACAAATCAGAAATGTGGTCGTACGGGGTCTGGATGTGGGGGTGTAGTCCAGTGTTTGCCTAGGATGCAGGGAGTGCTGGGCCGGATCCCCAGCACCGCACAAACTGGATGTCGTGGCACACACCTATAATCCCAGGACTTGGAGGTGGAGATAGAAGCCTCAGAGTTTAAGGTCATCCTCAGCTGCATAGTGAGTTCAAGGCAGGCCAGAGACACACGTCTCAAACAAACAAAAACAATGAGCTAAATAAATCTCCAAATAAACAAACAGGGCTTGAGATACGGAGGGGCGCAGGCCTGCACGCTCTGGGGAGTGTGAGGCATCTTAAGATGGCAAAAACTTCTCCATCCATCTCTAAAATAGCCACGTGGCCGGGTAAAAATGAGTCACCATCTGTGGTCGACATCCTGGTTGGCAGCTGAGGTTGCGTGGGCTTGTGGTTCAGGGCTGGAGAAGAGAACCTGGCACACGGGGGGGGGGGGGGGGGGGAGAGAAGTGCCTCTGTCGGGGTTTGGATGAGGAGGACTTGGAGAAGGCTGAGAAAAGAGCAGGCCAGAGAGCAGAGGGACTGGGCGGAAAGGGTCTCAGTGGAGGGAGACGCGGAATCAACAGAACATTTACAGTTGGTCGAAGAGCGGGGAAAACTGTGTCTACACGTGGGGTTGATGCTGGTTAAAGAATAAGAAGTACATGCAAATACTGATCGCACCTGCAGATTACCTAGGCAATGACTGTGAGCTGGACCCTGTATCAGAGAGGCACAAGCATTTGTATCCAGCACTGAGGATTGAGAGCTCACTCGAGATCTTCACAGAGCAAGACCCACCCCTCCAGGTGAAGACTGAGCTCAGGCCCCCACTGATTCTGCTCACAGGAATACTCTTTTCCTTTAGTATGGGTTTTCTTCATTGCACTTGATTTTAATCTCCCAAGTAGCATCTTAGATACCCAAGTTTCTGACTTCCTCTCCCTCCTAGCATGTGGAGGGCACTTCAGGGACATCTGTGGGACTTTGGCCTTGTTCTAATGAATTCCACGTGTGTAATGAGATGGTGGGTATATAGACAAGTGGACAAAACCCGAGAAGCTCTGGGCTTAGAGGCAGATGGCTGGACAGAACTGGCCACCCAGAGCTACTGACTCATGAATCCTGGCCAGCTGGTAGCACCCAGGACTGTGGGATTCTTTAGGGCTTATTCCAGTTTCCCCATTTATAACAAATAAACACCATAGAGACCGTCCAGACTTCTTAGATTCCTTACTTACAAAACAACACCATATCCACGCCACATACCTACAATACAGATAGATACATACCACACATGGCACATACCCAGACTTATGTGATGGATATCACATATGTGCCCTACACACCACACATTGGGCACGCACATCACACACTCTTTATACTACACATATGTGTATACACACCCTGGCACAGCGTCCATACAAAGACCTCCTAAAGAAAATGCACATTAGCTGGTGTGTGTGTGTGTGTGTGTGTGTGATACCCCTTCAATCCCAGCACTCAGAAGGCAGAAGCAGGCGGACCTCTGTGAGTTCAAGGTCAGTCTGGGTCTACAGAGTGAATTCCAGGACAACCAGAGATACAAATAGAAAAATTTTGTCTCAAAAAACCAAAAAATAAAAAAAAGGCACGTTTACTTTCATTGTATCCTCCCTGTACACAGGAAAAGTGTCCTCACACCACAAAAAGGAATTCTCTGTGGTATTAAGGGTACTTAAGGATCCCTGCAGCTTCAGTCCCCTCAAGAGTCTGTCAGAAGTGGTAGGTGAGTGATGGTGTCAAAAAAAATAAAAAGTAGCCTTTTCTCCTGCACCCGCCTGGAACCTAAGCCCCCATGGATTCCTGCTCGCCCAGGCCACTGTCTCCACTCAATACCAGCTCGGCACCACCAGCCTAGCTCCTTGCCCTGTTGCTATGGGGACCAGCCTGTGGCATCCCGGGCTGAGCCCCGCCTGCCTGCCTCCTTAGTTCTCCACGTGCTGGCTTTGTCAGGGCTCTGTCTCCACAGCTGTGGCCAGCAGAAGACAAGGGCTCTGCCGGGGAGGCAGGACCACCCACAGGACCCCAAGCCGGACTGATCAGGGCCTGAAGCACAGCTCAACTCTTGACATCTCTGAGGAGACCCCCCAGCTCGCTGCCCTCTGGGACCCGGGTGAGCTCCTCCGGAAGCTGTCCCTCCGAAAGTGTGCCAGTCTCCAAGGTTGCCTGCTTGGGGCGACGGAAGGCGCGAACTCCTCGTTTGTTTTAAAATGACTTTCATTCCCAAAGGAAGTCGGTAAGTACTCTGGCTTTCAGGTGGCTTTGGGGCCTTGTCTGGGGGATCTGTGTGGCTGATTTCCAAGGGGCGGAGCCGGCAGGCAGGACTCTTTCTGAAGGAGGAGGAAGGTGTGTAATTGAAGCCTCCTGAGTGAGGCTGTGAGGAAGTCACTGGGTCTGTCTGCTGTGATTCTGGGGTCCCCAGTTTCCACAAAGAATTAATTGTCTAGGTATTTATTAGACAATATGCAGAGATTTCTCCACCCTTAGTCCACTCTTCCGATTTTGTTTTCAAATGAACAGCAAGGGAAAATAATGTACTTAAATAATATATCATTGCCTGTAAGGGCCCCATGTCAGTGGACAAGCATCTTGTCACCCCTTTTTCCTTTAGTTAGTGTTCCTAGTGCTGCTCTCCCAAGAGTCACCTCTAATGCAAGTGACAATAAACCAAGAGAAAAAGGGATAGTCTGCTTTTCTGTGGGGAATTGGAGGATCATTGAAAGAAACTTGCTCTTTAGGTGAAGGAGGGGGAAATTTTATCCAAGGGTCATGCAGTGTGGCCTGTCTGCACTTTCTGGTGCAGGCCCCTGGGCACTCCAGAAAGTCCCAGTCCCTCCCTCCTTCCCTCCTTCCTTTCCTCCTTTCCTCCCTCCCTCCCTCCCTCCTTTCCTCCCTCCCTCCTTCATTCCTTCCTTCCTTCCTTCCTTTCTTCCTTCCCTTCCATCCTCCACTCCTTCCTTTTCTTGTTTTTATGTTAGCCTAGGCTAACCTCCTACTCACATGTAGTTGACTTGGAACTCTTAAATCCTCTCCCTTCCAAGGGCTGAGATTATAGACACACACTACAGTATCCATTATCCAGCTCAGCTGTGTGTAGATTATGCTCTATATCAGTGGTTCTCAACCTATGGGCCATGAACCATTTATGGGTTGAAAGACATTTCCCAGGGGTTGCCTAAGACCATCTGCATATCAGATTTCGCATTATGATTCATAGCAGTTCATTCATTATTTAAAGTTGTGAGGCAGCAACAAAAATCATTTTTTGGCTGGGGGTCACCGCAACATGAGGAACCGTATTCAGGGGTCGCAGCGTTAGGAAGGTTGAGGACCACTGCTCTATATCACTCTGTAAGCTAAGACAGAGTTCTCATTTCCTAGAGCAACTGAGAACATAGGCATGGTTGGCTGAAATTAGCCTGAGGTGAAAAGAATGTGTGCTTAGCTGTGTGGGGGCGGGGTGGGGGGTAAGTGAGGGGTTTGAGCAGGTCATTAGGGGCTGTATCTTGTACACAGAAGTAAGTCAAGGATCTCTGTAGTGGTAAACCCAGCTGTTCCTGGACCACAGCTTACAGCTTCTCCTTCCCTGACTTTGTTCTGGGGTAGGGGGTGGTCCACTGAAGGGCTTCTGGCTTTGAGGCCTGAAAACCAGGGTTATCTAGGGTGGGCAACTGATTTCCAGTCCCTCCGCCCCAAGGCTGGGCTGGGTCCCAGGGCGTCTCCTCATCCTTGAGCCCAGGGACTCAGAGCTCAGGATCCTGACAGAGACCTTAGTTTCCTTATTTGGGCTGTGAGAGCTTGTTTGGTGAGAGTCAGCCTATTGTTGGTCTGGTACTGTTCCAGCAGAGTGGGTTACACACACGTGGCCTTGGGGTCAGAGCACCCACTGTAAGAGGATCATGTGTCACCTACTGGCAGCCTTCTGTGGCATGGAAGAGCCAAGGGTACTTTTATGTCCTGAGTGGCTGGCAGTCGGGTCTGATAAGAGCTCCCCACTTCCAGCCTTCTGGGAGACCATACACATCTGGTCCATTTACTAAGTTTAATGGATATAGCGTCACATCACCCTTGCAGCTTCAGAGAGCGGCTGGGGTGTACACTCTCTCCCATGGAGGGAGGCTGAGCGGGGACTATCAGAGACAGAACAAGCTGGGGTGGAGACTCAGCTCAGCGTTCCAGGGACATCTGAGACCCCATATGTGTCTTTGTGGCCTACGGTCCCATAAGAGGTTAAGAAGCTTTGTGATAGAGATGTGTTCAGGAAGAGGGAAGAGACTGACGACTGCCCTGTCCAGATCAGCACCTGCCCCTGGATGACTATCACAGTCCCAGGTGTGCAGCCAGCGACGATGCAGCCATCTGTGCCTACCGTCGATCTGTGTGAGCCAGCGAAGGGATAGCCAGCCACCCTCCCGCAGTCCGCTGAGGAGCTCTGTTTGAGTCAGTTTCGTGGAGTTCAGTCCGTTCCCAAACTTGCTTTGTAGCCAAAGGCGATTTTTAGTTACTGATCCTCCTGTCTCCAGCTCTCATGTGTGTACCACCATGCCCAGATTACACAGTTCTGGGAATTGAACCCCATGCTTCATGTATGCTGTCCCATGAAGGTGCTGTACCAGCTGAGTCAACCAGGCCAACTGAGGAACTTTTAATCTCCCTATGTCCAAAAGCCCTGTGCCTACTGCAGGGGCCTAACTAACCAATCGCTGACCATATCTGGTCATGACATCTGGTCATAGATAGATCTATGATAGATATAAAACTAATTAATAGAATCCATCCTTCTTCCTTCTTTCCTTCTCTCCTTTTCTCCCTCCCTCTCTCTTTTTTGTTTGTTTGTTTGTTTGTTTGAGACAGGGTTTCTCTGCTTCTCTGTATTCTTTGGAACCTGTCCTGGCACAAGCTCCTGTAGACCAGGCTGGCCTCAAACTCATAGAGATCCACCTGCCTCTCCCTCCCTTCTTTCCTTCTCTCCCCCCATCTCCCTTTTTCTAGATAGCTCTGTGGGCATCCTCAGTTACTGACAGCTCGGTTCTTTCCAGTTCTCCACACCCGGAGCTTGCCAGCTCAGCCTCATCCTGTTAGAAGGATCCTCTAAGTACACACCTGCTGTTGAACCCTGAGCAATTTTCGCTTAGGGAGGAGCTGGGAATAAAGAGTGAAGAGTAAAGGTTGGGTCCAAGTGGTGGTAAAAATAACCATTTGGCAGGATCTAGTGTCTGGGTTGGATGCGGAGGGTAGAGGCAGGTTCCACATCGCTCAGGCTTCAGAGGGTGTTCCTGGCTGACGCTGCGCAGCTGCACCGGAACAAAGCTGGAATTATGGTCTATTCAGGGCCTGATGGAGTAGGGGCGTGGCCACCCCTTTAGTGCCTTAGTTTTTATGGATCACTCTATTTATGCTTCAACGCTTTTTTTCTTATAGTGTAAAGGAGGGGGGAGCACCAGTCACAGACTTCGCATGAAGGGCAGACACATCAGAGCTTTTTGTTATAAGTAAGAAGAAGCAATTGCTTTCACTTCAGGCTCAACTGTTATCGGAGGGACTGCCAGAGTCAGCCTGTAATTATGTCCCCTGTCTGGGATGCTCTCAAAATGCCATTTCACTTAGGCACTGAGCTGGTACTGCCTCTTCAGTTCAGAGCTGAATGCTCTGTGCACTAAGATGACTGAACCATCAAATATTTGAAAAGCTTTTTTATTTTTAAGATCAAGAGGTATAGAGAAGCCTCATTAATTAGCTACTCTCTGTTCCCAGCATTTTACATGCACGACCTAGCTGGAGTTGAGGGCCCATCCAAGGTCAATGAGCTGACTGATTTCACACACAGACCTTTTTTGAGCACCCTGCGGCTATTTCCCCGAGAGGAGAAGGCAAGCCCGGGTAAGATTTTGTCAAAGTTTGGGAAATATTGTTCACCCCTGACCTGAGTGCCATTGTAATTGAATGACCTAGAAAGCTTTCTGAAAGAAAAGAAAATGGTTTTCAGAAAAGGGACTCGCTCTCAGCTCCCCTCTCTTGGTTTCTTGGCTACATTTTTCCTTAGGGAAATTTAAGGGCGGTGAAGTAGGGATTAAAATCTCCATATATAAACAGACACGGAGACAGCTGGCTCTCATTGCACAAGAACTCTGGGCTGAGAATCTTGGACGAGCAACCAGAAGTTTTGCGCTTTTATTTTTAAATGGATTGACTTTTCTCTTGGTTACAAATATTGTGAATTAATCTCGTAAAATGTGTGAGTTATTGAGAAATTTTGAGAAGAAAACAAAAATTATTGTATGCTCATTACCCCAACAGACCCACACAAGTGGTCTCCTGGAAGCGTTGTCTTCCTGGGTCTAGGCTATCAGTCAGAAGGAGTTTGGCTGTTGGGCCCAGAAGCTGACAAGCATATCTGGGGGCTGGGAAGATAGTTCCGTCTGTAAAGTGCTTACCTTGCAAATACAAGGACCTGGGTACAACCCTCAGATCTTACATAAAAGGAGCCGAAGAGATGGCTCAGTTGGTAAAGCACCCATTGTGCAAGCATTAGGTCCTGAGTTTACATCCCTAATACCCGTGCACATTGATCCCAGCAGAGGCAGAGGCAAGCAGATCTCTGTGAGTTCAAGGCCAACCTGGTCTACAAGAGCTAGTTCCAAGATAACTAAGACTGTGACAAGAGGAAACCCTGTCTCAAAAAAAAAAAACAATCAAGCAAAAAATATTCATGTACAAAAAAGTAAGGAAGGGGCTAGAGAGATGTGGGTAAGAGCATTGCTGCTCCTCCAGAGGACTAGGGTTTGGTCCCCAGCACCCACACAGTGGCTCACAACCATCTGTAACTCCAGTTCCAGGAAGTCTAACCTTCTTCTGGCCTCTGAGGGCAAGGTGTGCACATAGTACACACACAGACATGCATATAGGCAAAGCACTCAGACACAGAAATTGAGGACCATAACTGATCTTGACTGATGGCTTCCCCACAAATGTGCCCACACACACAATTCATACCTGCATATGCATATACACTACCAACATAAGCACAACATGTACACACACACACATTCACACCTGCACATGAATATACACATACACACATAAACACAACATGCACAGACACAGACAGACAGACAGACAGACACACACAGACACACACACACACCTCTCTGGGCATGATGCACTGGCATGTAACCCCAGTGCTGAGACAACTGGACTACACAATGAGACTTTGCGTCAAAAAAAGAGAGGAAGGGA